ACGCTGCCCGTGGGCATTCCCCATGTCATCGCGCGGCGGCACAAGCAGCAGGGACAGGCGGCCTACAGAGACAGCTGGCTCCTGAGGGACGGGCTCAATGTAAGCCGGGCCGCGCACGGCCGAACTTGCTAAAATGGATGTTTAACTGCGTAATCCTGTAGCATTTTTAGTTGTGTAATGCGTGTCTTCCCCTCACGCATTCTCTTTTTCCAGATAGGAATACGTCTCGACAAACTTTTTTCCCCTTTCAATGTGCTGTAGATGCCGCCTTACTGAAGTCGGTAGATTTGCATCAGTCTGCGTTTAGGGCTTTATTAGATTTATTCGCTACAAACTAAATCTAATAAATTAATAGGTTGAGGGTCTGTACTCATTGATTGCTCTGTGCTCTGATATCACACATGTTCTGTTTATAGAATGACAACTGTATAACTGGAATTGGACTGCTCCAAATCCATTTGTGAATGCGTTGGTTACAAGTCGGCTTGTAACCTAGATAACGTAGCCAGTAATTTTAGTCTAACATGCTCAAAAAATGTATGTAGTGATCTATTCATGCTTTGAATTGGTACAAAACATCATTAATCAAATTAATGTCTCTGGTGTTAAACCTCACCTTTAAAAAATCAAGATCTATTGAAACATGTTTGCTCCTACTTAATGTTTCTGTAGTTAAATAGGTAATGTCCCGAGCTTATCACTCTGGAGGTGCAGTCCAGCAGCCATTACAATCAGTCAAAATATTTAAGTTGACTTAGACACATAGGTGTTGGGAACGCTAATATAAAAAAGAGTTTCTTTAAAAATAAGTGTATACTCATTGTACGATGTGCAAACCTTCTGTCCTTTCTACAGTCTGTCAGCTATAGTAATGATTTCATTGTTTAATAATAGCTTCAGTATTACCAGCATAGAGACATGTAATTAGAAACTAAGTATTTATGTTGCATGTTTTTGGGTTTTGTGTAGAAACCTGAAAGTACTGAGCAGAGACAAAATGGCCTTAAAATGGTGGACCAAGCAATATGGTCCAAAAAGATGTCAAATGGAGCAAGGCGTATACCAGTGTCACCTGATCAGGTAACTCATTCTTAAAATTTTATTAAATTGTCTATTCATATAGTCATTTGGTGTGATGCTATGTTTTACTGAAGAATAGATATCCTTTATACAGCAAATGTGGATAGTGCCATTGTGTGACCTAACTCTGAAGATCTGAGAAAATGAAGATTTAAAATGGTTCTTTGAGGGGCGGGGGGTTTCTTTTTTCTTTCATGTGTAAAAAGTGACTGGTAAAATATTTATCAACAGCGTTTGTTTTGATTACATTTCAGGCCAGGTCATACAACAGACAGATGCGGCCAGCTATTTTAGATCACAGCTCTGGGGCCAAGTGGACAAACACATCAAATCACCCTGAATTTTTGGTAGGAGAGGAGGTAAGATTCAGTTTCCCGCTGAAATAAGGCTTAGTATTACATTTTAATGCGGCTATGTAATCAGTAGCAGTTTGCTGTATGTTAGTATGTATTGAAAAGCATATAAATTTAGTCAAGCAATAGATGAGAAGCTTTACTATGGACTAACAAAATATTTATTACCATTCAGCAAGTCCGGACAGTTTCCCTCATTTGCCTAGCAAGTAACCTTGATCCTTTGCTGCTATAAATCAGTGTTTCTGCAGGGACTAGGTGAGATTATACTACGTTGCCCATGTAGTATAATTCAGAGAAAAGGCAAGAAGCTGATAAAAGGATCAGTACTGGAATCACTGTTGAGTAATTAGGTATTCATGAGCTTCAAAGAGTCTTTAAATTATTTTAGTTACTAATGTGAGATAGTGGGAAAATATATTGTTATGTTCGTAGTCGATGTCCACAGATATGAAAATTCAAACAATTTAAACCATGTATTTAACGTCTTTTTTTATTTCAATGCTTTATAATCAATCCCTGTTAAAAAGAAATCCATTGTATTGCTGTTGCATCGGTCTGAGTGCTGCTGTATGTCTTGTATCTGCTTCTGAAATATTTTTCTAGTATTTGTTACTAATCTTTTGGGAAAAACAATGCATAGAACATTGTCTCTTATTTTCAGGCACTGTATATTAATCCACTGGATTCTTATAATATACACTGGCCTATTAGAAGGGGGCAGTTAAATCTCCACACAGGACCTGGTGGCTCCCTCACTGCAGTATTAGCAGACCTTGAAGTTATATGGTCACATGCAATACAAAAATATCTGGAAATACCATTGAAAGACTTAAAGGTGAGCTGTGAACACATTAATGTGGGCTGTATCCAGTTCTGTAAATGTTACTATAAAAGGGAAGCCACCTGCTGTTACTGTTAGCCTCTTACTGGTGGTTTTCTTAAAGAATAAATTCTTTCTGCTCATGAGCATGGTTCCTAAGACTTAATTTGGAATTTTGTGCATGTTTCTAAGTCTACCAAGGAGGTTTGGGAATCCCATTATAGAAATTTCAGTCTTAGTCTGTTTGGGATTTTTTTTGTTGACTAAAAAGGAGGCAACTGAGGAATGAGTGCCTAATACTTGCGTAATGTCTTTTCCTTGCTGAGTAGATGTTTTTCTCATATCTGATGTACTTTTAAACATTTTAGTGACCTATAAACTCTTAACTTGATACTTACTCTGAACTCATTTTTAAATTATTAAAACCTTTCCCCCTTTCCGTAATTTTGCTTCTTTTAATAACTTGTATATTATGCTTTCTTCCTTAGCATCAGGTATTCAAGAATGTAAAAAGAAACTTAATTTGAGAGCTGGCTTTAATTTACTGTTCTTATCCTCAGTACTACAGATGCATTTTACTAATTCCAGACATCTATAATAAACAACATGTGAAAGAACTGGTAAATATGATCCTAATGAAGATGGGCTTCTCAGGTAAAACCATACATAGCAAGCACTTAATGCTTAATAGTGTAAAGTTGTTTGGGTGTTTTGTTTTGGTTTTTTTTTTTCTTTTAAGGCACATTTTTTGCACATCAATCCCAGTTTGGCTGGGACTAGCACCTTTCATCTTTTGCTATTCCCATAACAGTTGTCTCTTTTAATGGGGCAAAATGGTTGGCTAGCATTGAAACAAGTTTCTTAGTTTGCTATTAGGTATTCCAACGGCAGGCTTCTCACTTCAGCTGAGATAAAAGTAGCAACAGTCTGATTTCTCAAGTATTTCTAAAATGCACAGTTAACTCCACAGAGTATTAAGATCTGTAGACTTCAAAACAAAAGCAGATGATGTAAGATGCTGCAACTGTCCTCTCTACAGGATGACATAATAGGAGGTTTCAGAGTTGCTTAAGTGCATACACTAAACATAGAAGAGCAATACAATTTTTAAAAAATAACCAAACAATTGTTAGCTGCTTCTGCATATTTATTTTGAGACTGGAAAGCCCTCTGATGAAAAAGAGTAATGCAGTTTCCTTTCAGTTAAACTGCTGGAAGTTTCTGGCTGGTCTTCTGGAAAGAACTGCTGTAGTCTTGGCCATCTTTCTCTGATTTCACATTTGGAGAAAACAACAGCAAGTCGTTACGGAAGACACTGTAACCCAACCATATGGAGCATACTTAATTCAAAATAATCATAGTAGTAGTACCTTTGGTGCTGCAAAGTGCTTTTTTGTAGTAGGTATGCAAGGAAAGATGCTTAAAAAGTGGACAAGAATAAGTTAAATGATAGAGACTAGTCAAACAGTAACTTAATTGTAAGATGTTGGAGATTAACACTGCTGTTGTTTAATAATTAATCAGTACGAAGTGCAAACAGTTCCCAGGTATTACTCAGCAGAATATTTGCTTAGATATTATTGCTTCCCATCTGAAAGAATTAAGTAGGTGGTAAATACTGCAAAAAGAGAGACTGACCTCATGAGATCTAAATTTTGTTCACACGCACGTATATGTATTTGATTTGTTTCATTATGTTGAAATGAACAGGCCATATTGGCTGTTAGGTTTAGGTTTTCATCAGAATGGTTCTACATCATACTTTCTTTGATTCCTCCTCAGTTTTTACATAGAAGTAATGTGAACAGTACCTAATAATACTACTATGTAAAAATGTACTGGCACTAGGATAGAAGAATTTGCAGTTGAAATGTGTTAGCTTCAGAGGAACGGTAAGAATACTAAGAAAAAAAATACAAAACTTTATATTCAGCCAATACATGAAAGTGGAAATCAGAAAGTATCATTAATAACTCTTCAGAGTGCTATTTCCTAAATAATAATTTGGTGAAGAGCTGACCTAATTACGCAGCATAACTATTCTATTAATTCTGTTAATTCTATTAATCTATTTTAAAACATTTGCCTTTGAAACAGTAATTCTACTTAGCTTTTGTCTACAAAGCACAGCTCAATTGAGCTATTCTTTTCCTTCGTTGGCTAGAAGGATAGACTGAAGCCGCCAGTACTTCTCAGGTTTAGGTATGGCCTTGTGATACAAAGGTACTCTTTTACAGAGTTAAAGGTGGATTGAAAGGAAAGCAGACAGTGAAATTGAACCTTGTTTTATAACTATTTAAGGAACGTATCTAAAATACTAATGGTAATGATACTTCATTAGAAAAAATTAGGAAAATGCTTCATGTGCATCTGATAACCAAGATTCTGCAATACTGGTTACAAAAACAAGTAAAGTCTGGAGGCAATATCTTTAAACTTGCAAAAAATAACATTTGAATATAGACATCCACCCTGGTCTTAGCTTTTCTCAGGACTTTAAGGGCCTAACCAACAAAAAAATCTGTAAGTCCCCCCTACCCCATCTTCACTAAATATACAGACTTTCAGTGCAGAGTCAGGCTATTGGTAGATTTTAAAAGACATCAAGATGTCCTTTAAACGTCAGCAACATGGCTCTGGAGCTTGGCATAAATTGGATGTAATTTTTTCTCATATTGCTAGGAATTGTTGTACACCAGGAGTCTGTCTGTGCTACTTTTGGAAGTGGTTTAAGCAGCGCGTGTATAGTAGATGTGGGAGATCAGAAAACAAGCGTTTGCTGTGTAGAAGATGGTGTTTCCCATCGCAACACCAGGTATCTTTTAATATGCAGAATTATTATAAGCCTGTACTTAGTTGCTTACCAAAGTCTTAACTTTAAAAACAAGAAATTTTTTTTACAAATATGAGTGTTTTTTACTGTGAGCTGCATGACCGGGACATCATGTTACAGTATGAACCTTAAAGAATTCTGACACCTTTAAAAGAAGAAAACAGGCAGAACTGATACTGTGCTCTGCAAGCTACGTGGAGGTCATGATCACAGCATGTCTAAAATGTTGCTTGTATTCCTATGTATGCTACTGTAAAAGGCCAGTATTTCACCAAATTAATAAAAAATATCTTTTTCTTCTCTGTGCTTTAGGTTGTGCCTTGCATATGGAGGATCTGACGTGTCAAGGTGTTTTTATTGGCTTATGCAACGAGCAGGATTCCCATATAGAGACTGTCAGTTAACTAATAAGTTGGATTGCCTGCTGCTTCAGCACTTAAAGGAGACATTTTGTCATCTAGACCAGGTGAGAAGGGAAGATGGTATATTCTCCAAGTATTTTTTTTTTTCCTTTACAGAATGCTACTCTGGGGAACCCTTTTGCAAGTCTACAAGTGCTTGTAAATGGAATAAAATGTAATATTTTACTCAGTAGAATACTGGCAAAAGCTGGAGAAGCTTTAGATTTGAAGTATTTGTAACTTGTTTTATTTTTCTTCTAGTTGAAAGAGTCCCAACTGTTAGAAAGGTAGTTTCTTTGTTCTTATTACTGAGGAGCAGATAGTAGCTGCATATTTGCTAGTTTTCAACTTCAGTTTTGTAAAATCTGCCATCAGGTCTCTTCTTTCTGCACAAACCCTCATTTTAGAGGCTTAGGCATGTAGAAAGCTGTTTTTGCAGATTGTGCTACAAGGAAGAGACTTTAAAAAGAGTTCAAGAATAGGTAAATTAAATTCACGGTCTGAAGAGTTTTGTTACTTTTTGTTGCTTCCTACAGTTTAAATAGATTATGCAGCTTGATAGAGAGATATAAAAGATACAATTTTTTTAATATTGTTTTTGACCTTAGGATATTTCTGGATTGCAAGACCATGAGTTCCAGATTCGTCATCCGGACTCTCCAGCTTTATTATACCAGTTCCGATTAGGAGATGAAAAATTACAGGTGATTTTTTTTTTTTTTTTTTTTTTTTTAAATTACGAGAATTATATTCGGCATTCAGGCTCAGGGCCTCACTTTGTATCAGTCCAGTGCTACTAAACCCACATGATTTATGGATTGTTCTTAATATATGCTTGTTGATAGTTTTAAAATTAATTCCTATATGTATGAATGGGCCTAATGCAGCACTAGTGGATGCACAAGACTTCCTTACTAGCTTTAACCAGAATGGTTGTAACTTCAACTAAATATGATGATATTTATCCTTCAAGGGCAAGGAATGAATCTAATCTAAAAATCTAAATCTAAAAGTTTTTCACATCACCATTGAATTTTCTAATTTTGTAACAAACTGCATTTGAGTACTTAGTTATCATACAATGCCAGAATCTGTAAAGAAACCTATATACATGTACAATTGTATGTTTTGGGGTTATTTTAATTATACAAAACTGGAGACAGTTTAGCCTTTCACAAAACTATTTGAAAAAAATGTGTATCTAATTTTCAATTGTGAGAAAAATAGAACAAGCTTAGGGTTTTTTTTTTATTTACTATTAAAAAAGAAAATGTAGTAAAACCATGTCAAATCTCTCATTCTTCAGGCTCCAATGGCTCTGTTCTATCCAGCAACTTTTGGAATTGTTGGACAAAAAATGACAACTTTGCAACACAGGTCACAAGGTGACGCTGAGGATCCTCATGATGAACATTATCTGCTAGCCACACAAAGTAAGCAGGAGCAGGTGTGTGAATGCTCATTTTACTTTTCATTAAGTATTATTTAATTGGAGAATAAAATCAGGACTCATTAGCTCATCTCGGAAACCGAAGTTTGTTATCTGGGCCAGAAGCAGTAAAAAAAAAATTTAGAGTAAGGAATTACAGATGTCTAGACAAGTCCTTAATTAGAACTGTTTATTTTCAGAGTCTGAGGGCTTCATATTATGGCATTGATATATCTGTTGGAGTTCAAAATAAAACCCGTACTTTGAAAGTGAGGATTAAAAGGAAGTAATACAATGTTTAACCTTTCTGTGCAAAAAGGTGACGAGAAGTACAATGATGTTTAGTTAAGTCTTTGTATTGTTCTGCAACCTGCTGAAGAGTTTTTTGCATTTTTCATAGTTCAACTTGTTTTCTCATTTTTAAGTCTGCAAAAGCTACAGCTGATAGAAAATCTATGTCGAAGCCTGGTGCATTTGAGGGAGACTTGAGAGGCCAAGCCTCAGACATTTCAGAGAGGATCTACCCACAAGAAGTGGAACTGGGGTCTTCCCAGAGTGATTGTATGATATCTGGAAATGATTCGGAGGAACCTTTAACTGCACACATGTCCAGGAAAACAGCTATTTCGCAGTTTGAAGGCAAAGCCTTAGGCCTTGACAAAGCCATTCTTCATAGTATTGACTGCTGCGGTAAGAATTACATTTGTACAATTCTGTAAAATATGCATGTCAGTCAGTGTGGATTTATGGTAACACTGATTTTTTACCAAAGTAGCACACATGTCCCTAAGTTTTCATCATCTCTAGAGTAGCTACACCATTCCTTATACTTGCATCTTTGTTGAAGTTTCTTGAGCTAGATATTTTGAATCTCTAAGGAACAGAAGAAGAATTTTAAAAGCAAACACTTACTGGTTTCTATCTGGTTTGACTTGCACTAAATTCTTTATAATACAAATAGAGGCCGTATTAACTTTAAAAAACAGATAAATTTCTATATATCCATTCATTCCAGCATCTGATGATACAAAAAAGAAGATGTACAGCTCCATCTTAGTTGTGGGAGGAGGCCTTATGTTTCATAAAGCTCAAGAGTTTCTTCAACACCGAATTCTCAACAAAATGCCACCTTCTTTTAGAAGAGTCGTTGAAAATGTTGAAGTCATCACAAGACCTAAGGTATGCTGTTAACTGATTGCTAAATGGTTAATAAACTATGATTGCTTGAAATCTTCAAAAGATTAAAAAAAAAAATATATTCTTTCAAGACCACAGATTAGTTGCATATCTGAGGAAATTTAGGAGAGCTTTCAGCTCATAACATAGCACTCTCCGATTGTAGGCAGAAAGTTAGAGGTATAGTGAGAGTGTTACTAGCATTGATCACTGAAGTGTTTATTAGCTAAAGGCCATATTCTTAAGGAAGCAGTTAGTACTGGCCCATGAAGTTAACCTGTCTGTTCAGCAACAAATTGTGTTAGGGTTCTTTATAACTATTAAGGTAAAAGAAAGTATGGCATTAAAAAAGCAATTTTCATTTGGCATTAATCAGGCAAGATTTGTAAAAACAAAATGAGTATTTTTCAGAGCCTCCATTGCTGAGGGCAGGATTTCCATGACATACCTAGAAGGCATCTTTAAAAAAAAAAAAGTGACTTCCCTAAACACCTTAAATATTCTTTCCGTATTTTTATCTCACTATTTTTTCCTGAATAATTTTGAAAAAATACTTTTCTCCTCCCTCACCCCTGAGATTGTAAGTGGTGAATAGTGTTGGAAAAATTAGGATACAAGTTTTGAGAACTATGCAAATTTACACCAGTGATGATCTGTAATCTGTGTTTTGAATTTAGGATATGGATCCCCGCTTAATTGCATGGAAAGGAGGTGCAGTTTTAGCCTGTCTTGATACAACTCAGGAGCTATGGATATATCAGCGAGAATGGCAGCGTTTTGGTGTCAGAATGTTACGAGAGAGAGCTGCATTTGTATGGTAATGGATACGTTTACAGTGGAACATGATTAATTAAGGATTCCTTTCCCCAAATGCCCCCTTTTCCAGTGCAGATGTATTGATCTTCTGCTGGTAGATATTTTTGTATTTTATTAAAACCGACTTCTACTGAGATTTTTCCAAAAGCGGTGCAAAAGCCTTCAGCATTGCTATACTTCATCTTTTGAATTGTATGGATTGAATTCTGTGTACAGAGTATGACAGTCATCTCCAAATTCACTACACTTATATCATGTAGGTTATGTATATTAAAATTGCACAGTGTGGGAATTTGATGTGTAAAATACTGACGTGGCAGATGTTAAGCCAAGATTCATTCCAGCTACATGTACACAGAAGCAATAGCTGAAGAGTGCAGGCTGTGGGTTTAATGCTTTATTCTGATTCATACTCTAATGTTACCAGGAGATGAAATTGTTATATAAGTGATCATCATGGAAAAAGTGAAATGGAGAACCCAAACTACAGTTGCTGTTGGTGTTTTGCTTATATAATAAATTGCATTATTCAGTGGAAAGACTTAAGAATTTGAAAGGGGAGTATTTTTTCTTGCCTGTTATCATCAAAAGCTCTTGCTAGCTTTTCGTTATCCATGGTAGTTATCCACTCTTTTCCCCATTTAAAAAAATCCGATATAATACACTGAAAAAAACCTAGATGCATTTTTATATAGCTAGCATCAACCTTATTCCTGTGGTACAGGCACAGGGGCTTTTTCTCCCAACAACTAATCCTTAGTTACAGAAGTGCTATTTGTTGTTTTTTTTCTTCTGTAATGAAGGCTCCCACCACACTCAGATCACACCTCAAATCCGTATCTGCAATTATAATCTAGATTAAAACTATTAAAACACTTCTAACAATATAATAAATACCAAAGATCGATTAGTGTAGTCTCTACAAAGCACACGAGAAACAACGGACTTTCTTTTAATCTGCTTTCATTAAAAGTTCTAAAGAGAAAGGATATTTCCACCCAAATTACGCTGTAATCTTATCTGAAAGTATTTTACTGCAGGCTGTGATTACATTCTTGCACTTAAGACCAGGACCTTTGGGCTCTCTTCTATTCAAGATAGCATACAATACTTCAAATTTTACTCTGGCAAGATTAGATGTCATTGCTGGGTTTGGTTTTTTTTGGGAAGAAGGGGGCATTGCCTTCAGGAAAAGGGTCCAGAATTGCTGTTGTAGAAGAAATGGGTTTTTTTTAAGTTGCTTTTTTTTTTTTCGTTTGCCGCAACTTAGAAATGTTTTGTTCAGGTTTTATTTCAAAAAAGTAAGCTTGTATTAAATACGGCCCAGTAGCTACAGTGCCCTACTGTTTGTTCAGCTATTGATACTTTTGTCTTCAGTTTTGTAAGACTAGAGCTCAATATCCAGACACCTGTTAATTTCCTATTTCTTGCCATGCACCTCATTGCATGAAACAGAAAGGTCTCTGCAGAATTCTCAATGTCCTTCATAAGACAGTATTTTGGACACAAGTTCAGAGCACTTGGTAAAGCGTCTTGTGAACTCACCTCATTGAAAGAAACAACAACATATTTTTGTACAGAGGACTGATTTGTCATGTCACTGCAGAAGAGGTTAACTGCAAGAGTGAACATACTCTCCATGTTACTGTGGTTTCCCATGCTTTTACAAGAAACACCGCATGCAGCAGCGGTAGGGTTTGAACTGAGGAAAATCACCCTATCTGCTGCTGCTTTTTGAGCAGCAAGCCATTGTACAGGACCTTTTTCAGCAATTCTCCTTTTCTCCCATATGTCTAGAATAACATCAGTCTGGCAGCCCTTATACAGGAGTTCAGCAGAAGGACGGACAGTGATGAAAACACACTTCTGGATATATAACCAGCATTTTAACACATAGTTGTAGCTGCACCTGATGGAAAAAGCGCTTCCTAAATGAATGTGTTTAACAAAAAAGACACCATATGCTCTCTTCAAATGTCAGTATTTCTAGAAACAATGTAAACAAAATTTGACTGGCATTCTAAATTGGTATGGAGGGGTTGACTCTCTGCCTCTTACTTTTGCCTAGAAAAAATTAGATACCTTTGTATAAAAGTATGAAAAGCAAAAATAGTGAGCTAAGAATTTAGAGCTCAGATTCTCATCTTCATGGTGAATTAGATCCAACTTAGACAACTTACCTGCACTTCATCTCTCCAAGAATGTTGAAAATAATTTAGCAAAACAGTGTTCAGTAGCTAAAACAGTTTATGGTCTACTGCACCAAGGGAGGAGCTTTGCATTACAGACTGATGAGAAGAAGGTAGCAGAGGCATGATACTTAATCTGTTAGTCATTCTGCAAAACTAATACTGTGAAAAAAAGTGCTACGCAAACAAAAATTAAACAGCAAAATGCTCACATGACCCCAGTTGATGTTTGCTAACCAAAAATTGTCCACACTTTTAAGTAATTCACTGTTTTTGCAAGTGTTTAAGGGATTAAATATTTACTCTCCATTTAGAAAAAAAAACAATGGAAGGAAAAAGGCTAGGCCTACATTAGCAGGTAGTGTAGTGGAATGGCAGAGACTACAGAGCAAAACAGTTGGGGCCAAGGAGCAGACTTCTGCACTAAGTATTTCAGGGAAGTTACTGCAGCCTAGCCCTAGTCCAGTCCTGCAGCTTGCATACCCATTAGTGGTTGGACTATGTTATATTTATTAGGGCACATCTTCCAGTTTAATTTCATCTGAGAGAATCAAGGCTGCACTCCCCGACCACCCTACAATACAAACCAAACTGTAGTGAGGCCAGTGGGCAATTTCCTTCAAAAGCACAACACTGATTGAAACTAAAACACTAACATAGACACATTGGGAGTTTACTAAAAAAACCTTGAGAGAGTTTCTGTTACAATAGTACCTAAAAGGTAGTCTCTTTCATATGAACTTATCTAAAAGGATGTTTGCAGCAAAACTCGAAGACAAGGAATTACAGAAATACTAAAGTTCAAAAAAGTGAGAACCCTTACCTCTGTCTGTGATCACACAAGCTACTGCAACAATAATACATACTATTACAAGTAGAGCAGCAAGGAGAAAACACACAAATCTTCCAACTGAATTGGTTGTGAGGATCTCTAAAAGAGAACAACTATCGCTTTGAAACAAGCCTTGCCCAGCTGAAAAAGCTGTCTTCAGTTAATGAATTATTGAAATGAGCATTTCCAATGTCTGTACATGGAAGAGGAATTGTGCTAAAAGGTAATGCAAAAGGGTTAATAATCACATAGAGAACTACAGAGCTGTTGACTAAATTACTTAATTTTCTTCCCTACTTTGAAAGAAACAAGACATACTAGTCTGAATCTGCTCCCTTCAAGTTCCTCCCATGTTTCTGGAATGTACCTCCTCCAGCAGCCTGACATCTCATCCGTTGTTCTCCTCTCTTCCCTTTGGTTTAGAGCTTTACCATGAGCAATAGTTACAAAATAACTAATTCCTGAAGTGCGGCATTGCTGGATTAAGCATAAAACTCCAACTTTTAAGAGGAAAATAAAAGGCAAAATTTGCCAAGGCCAGCATACATAAAATCATCTAAAATGAGAGTTATCTGCTTTTTGACAAGATTTTGATATTCAAATATCTGTCTACCAAAACATTTATTTTCCCAGATTTTTGCAAACATACAGGGGAAAATCTGCTGAATATCCACAATACATAATGCAACAGGAAACACTGAGCACTTTCTGTTTAGTTTGCATTGATGATAAATACTCAACTAACCATTGGCTTTCACCTGCAGGCAGTTTGGTGGGATTTCAGCACAGATTAATTCCTTTCATATATTTCCTTCTGTACTATGGTTTGGGCTCCTGACAAGAGTACTGTGTTTCCTAAAACTGTTACCAGATTTTCTTGAAAGACAGTTTCCTTACAACTGATACAAATAACAAAAATGAAGAGAGATTCATGAGATAAGAATCTAATAAAATTCAGTGTAAATGTATCAGGCATGTTTGCTTTAAGCTTTATAGCACAGGGACAATCTACAGAACAACATAGACTTAAATTACCACCATGAGGAGAGGTTTGATGTCTACCAATTCATAAGTAAAGAAAATTTAATAAGAAAAACATTAAGTGATATTCATTGCTATGCGTTTGTCTTGTTTCTTAGTCAGAATTAGTACAACTCTTCACATTAATTAACTACATAAAAGCAAATACCCTTTTCACCAAAAATAAATAAAAAATGTTACTTACCTCTACAAAGATATCAGTGCTCTCATCACTCCTTGGTATCCTCACAGAAATTCTAAGTTTCATTTATCTAATCATGAAATGAAATCCCGAAGAAGAGTGTGGGAGGGAGAAAAAAAGTCAAAAGACATTTATCACAAAGGGAGTCATTACTAAGTTAAATCACATTTAATATTTAATTGCATTTCCATTTGCATTTAATAGGCTTTAAAACTAGTATATATTCTTAACAGAATTATAGATAGTGCACGTATTTATCTTTAAATTCACTAGTCTAATATAATGAACCAGGGTGAATACCTCAGTAGGAATTACAAGCAAGATGTGTTTCATGTTAGTTAATTCTAATTAACTAGTTACTATATATTTTCTTCTGTTTTCATGTTCATTGATTAATCTCACTCTGAACAAAATAATATTGTTTAAAAACATTCTTAAAAAGAAAGAACATCATCTCAAAAAGTAAAATAATATATTGTAACAGTGGAGCAGAGCTCTCCTGAAAGTAACCACGGTTTTTAGACCATCTCAGCATTTGCTGGCCAGCTCTGCTGATTTGACTTCAGCAGAAGCATATGCCTTCTACTGTGCCAATCCAGAAAGAGAACTTGCAGAACGATGCTTCCAATTTATTATGATTTAACGGAAAATTACCTTTACTTCCATGTTTTTTTTCAAGAAGTACTTCATACTTTTGATGCTCATAAAGCAATATTAAATATTCAAGCCCAAGACTGCTTGTAAAATTCACTTCTAATTCTGTCTCTATTTTACAAACAGTTATATTTGGATTCCACAAACTTCCTGAGGGTTGAAAAGGTTTCAGTTTAAAATTTTTAACTATGTAAGTGATGAAATGGATTTCCACTATAACTGTGCTTGTGATAGGCACCATGCACCCTGC